TTTCACCTGCGACCCCTTAAAATTGGGGACCCCAATTTGGGGTGGCGTCAGGAAGCGACAAAAAATTCGACAAATTTTGCGTGGGCGGCTACTCGGCTGCTCATTGGTCAGTGAGCCGAATCCAGGCTTCTGATTGGTTGAAAATTTCCATGCAAAATTTGTCGAATTTTTTGTCGGTTCATGACACCTCCCCATAAAATTGACCTCATGAATTTTCTTTGAAAATAATTTCATCGTTGTTTAAAAATTAATTACGATGATCATTGATCATAAGAAATTTATAGAAAGATTGTTTTGACTTCAACAAGTTGCGAGTGGCGAGAAGATATACTTTGAGTTTCACGTATTCAACACAAATAATTGACACGCTTGTTTGAAATACGTATGCCGCGTATTTTCATATTTGTGGCTTAAAGTTGAGCTTCAATTTCGGCATCTGGAGAGCGCATTCTTGAATACTCGCCGATTCCGAGCACCTTTGTCCGGTTTAGCATTATCGCGCCAGATACACTCGCATTAGCTACACAGCCTGCTCATTATAAGACCACTCACGTTTCCGGAAAAATATCTTTTGAAGCTTTCTCGCTCAAAACTTATTGGTTAGATAAGGGTAACGATAAAGGATTAAGGGGTCCCCATCGGTTTTTCGCACTTTCGCAAAACCTATGGGGACCCCTTAAAGAGGGAGGTGTCTGGAACCGACAAAAAAATTTCGACAAATTTTGCGTGAAAATTTTTAGCCAATCAGAAGCCTGGATTCGGCGAACCGGCCAATCAGCAGCCGAGTACCCGCCCACGCAAAATTTGTCGAAATTTTTTGTCGGTTCCAGACACCACCCCCTTAAAGTCAAGAAAATTTTGATGGAAAAATAAGGGAGATACCCTTGTTAAAACAAGAGCGAAGAGTCTTATTGGAGAGTAAAACTGTTAGTTTTGAGACTGTAGCTTTCGATCGCTTCTGATTAGTGTTTTGGGTGGTTTTGCAATGAGCAGCCTCGGTAAGTAATTCCGAAGAGATCTCTAGAAAGAAAAAAAGAAAATTAAACCTGGCCCGCTCGGGAGAAAGCTCTTGGCGCAGCTCTTTGTCCAGCAGCCTAAATAGGAATGATGAGCCTTAGGAGCCCATTTTCATAAATTAGTATTCAAAGCCTCCGTCCATCCATAACTCTAAACTCACCGATCCAGCGTCGATTTTGTGCATTTACGAAAGCAACGCCCAAGACCGATCACAAACTAAAATATTCTCTAGAAAAGAAAAAGAGACACCATAACTGCTCTTTCGGCAACTTGTTTTTGACTTTTTCATTTTTAGCTTAGTCGGAAAACGTTACTTATCAGTAGAATCAAAGAAAAATGGAGCAAAAATAATAAAAAATAATAAAGAAATATGACTTGAAACGAATCTCCGAGAAGAGTGGCTATCTTAGATAGCCTATCTAGTGCCTGCTCCTGGGCTTGGCAACCTGTTTGAGAACCCTGAGTCAGGGGCTTGAAACAACTTTCAACGAAGCTCGACCCTGTCTTAGGTTTTCTGCACAGTTTTCCGCTGGGCTCGGCAACCTGAGTAAAAACCTGAGTTAGGGTTCTAAAGGAGTAAAATGAAAAGCCGCGTAGCGGCTTTTTCAAAACGAAGCCGCAAAGCGGCTTCGCCACAGTTACCGACTCAATGAATTATTTCAACTAGCGAAGCCGCTTTGCGGCTTCGTTTTGAAAAGCCGCTACGCGGCTTTTCATTTTACTCCTTTAGAACCCTGACTCAGCTTGGCGAGCCAATATTGCTCCGTAAAGGGGCTATCTACTAGTTAATTATTTTTTGAGAATGAAAAATTCCTCGATTTTCATTTTCTGTTTAGTCTCGTCGCCAGAAATTAGAGAGATCGTCGCCGTGGTAAAAAAATGTGGTTGAGTATTTTTGTCGAAGCAGGCGGCGGGTGTTTTAGTGGAACCAGTTCCGGTCTGACATAACCACCCCGGAACTGGCTATTATTGTACGTACATACAAGACTTTGCGGTCGCTTCTCCAGATTCATTCCATCGAGTTGGTTTTACGCAACGCCGCGTTTTTTAAATCCACCCTTATTTTTGGGGACATTGAAAAATTTGAAAAAAGGAAAAAATGAAAAATATATTTTTAGAAAAGATTTTTGAGTTTTTCTTACCCAAAGTATAAAGAAACAAAGCGCCGCTCTCGTGTGTGATCCAGAAGACTGAAAAAGAAAATATCAAACTCGACTTTTAAGGATGCTCCGGAGGATGATCGCTAAAATCCAACGAAGCCGATAATAAAAAACAACTCAATAAACTAATTGAAATCAGCGAATCCAATCTTTTACCTCTGGAAACTCGAGTTCTTCAAATCCCATCTTTTCAGCCCCTCTTTTTATAGTGTGGGACTTGACTGGAACAAAAGGACTCAAAATGGCTCGATGATGAGGAGGAGTTTTATTGTGGTGAATGTGATGTCGAGTGAGTGAATGAATGCAGAGAGAGAAGTCGGCTTGATTATATGCCGAGAGGAAAGGTGTGAAACAGGAAATAAGAAAGAGAATCGGTAGGGGAAAGATTGTGTGCCAAAGAAAGCTAGGGGATAGTTCGGTAGTCTTACACTATATATAGCCCTCCCTACTTTATAGTGAGCGAAGCTCAGGTAGAATTAAAAGAAATAGTCACTGTATCAAAGAAATTAATAAATCGTTTTTGGCGAAATTTAAAGAATAAGTTTTGGCGAGCACGTTTAACTGATTTATGGATTCTTGAGAAGGTGTGTCGCGTTCAGTAGTTGCCATAGCTTTATTGACTAACTTGATAAGTGTTTCTGGAGTTTAATTTGTTTGCTAATGCTAAGAGCCATCATATCGCGAAAAATATTAATTGATAAGAATAATAAAATGATGAGTGTCAGGTAACAAGGACCATCTCACGGTTACTGGCGAACGTCGAATCTAGCCTCTTTAGGGATACCCCGACCTATTTTTTTCTGTGTTTCTGTGGCGAACTAGTAAAGAAATTCACCAGTAATTCGAGAGTGCTACGCGATAATTATCATTTAACCAAGCGTCCCCAGTAGAATTCTTAGCATTAAATTTTTACGTTCTGAGAATACTCTTAAAATCCCGAAAAATTTTTCTTTTACTCAAGTATACGGAAATAAGGCGGAACTCTCGGTATGGGCGCTCTTCAAAACATGAGCATTATAAAGGCAAAATTTAAGTTTTAATAATTATTTTAGAATTATCATAAATTTAAAAATTACTAGAATTTTAAATAATAAAATAGATTAATGAGTCAAAAAAAGATAGAATTTGAAAGGAGATACTTTTGGAAGAATTTTTTAGCTGTTTCAAGGTGATGATGGAGGATGAGTTGAAGTCGATTTGGTCGAAGTAGTAGTCGTTTTGCTGGTTGTGGGTTGCACCCAGAGATTGGCTGACGTCTAGTTTAAGATGTAGTTGTTGTAGTTAATGTACTTGAGATGTGGTCATTGAAAATGTTGATGGTAATGAAGTGGGAGAGGTGGATGGAATTGTTGGAGTAGTTGTCGTCATTGTTGAGGTGGTGATTAGCTTGAAGATAGATTTTTCTTCTCCTCCTCTTCTTCTTTTTCAGCCATTTGAGTTATTGGAGCGGCTCTTCGGGGAATCTCTTAGTTCGATCTGTTGATCAGTCACCAAACTATATAGTGTGGGACTTGACTGGAACAAAAAGGACTCAAAATGGCTCGATGATGAGGAGGAGTTTTATTGTGGTGAATGTGATGTCGAGTGAGTGAATGAATGCAGAGAGAGAAGTCGGCTTGATTATATGCCGAGAGGAAAGGTGTGAAACAGGAAATAAGAAAGAGAATCGGTAGGGGAAAGATTGTGTGCCAAAGAAAGCTAGGGGATAGTTCGGTAGTCTTACACTATATATTTTTTCTCTTTTTTTGTCGAAAAATGAAAATGTGGTTTGATAAAGAGCGTCAGAATTAATTCTTAGTTAGTTAAAAACAAGTAAAGCCACTCTCTCATTTAGAGGATTAATATTTCACCGCAGAGATAGATAAATTGACTCTCAGAAGTCGCCGTCTGTCCACGAATGCCACTTTGCTTATCATTCAGTTACTGTAACGACCTTACTGTAAGAGGCACACATCAACATTTGCATTTTGCTTCAGTCTTGATTTTTCTTTTGGTGAAATATAAAAACGCTGCGCTTAAATTTATTAAAATTAAAAAATCGATGAATTTTTGATAAAATTGGGGTAAAACCAATTTTTGGAAAATTTAATTTTGGAGAAGTTAGTAGAGAAACGATTAGTGAGAATAAAATAATTTAGGAACAATTAGTGGGGATAAAATTATTTTGAAACGAGTAATTTGGGAAGAACTTATTTTTGAAATGATTTTATGGAGAAGGGTTTTGATTGGCCGGTAGGCCAAATACGGTAATCTTATTGGTCATCCAAAAATGGATCCTAGAGATTTGGATTTCCAATATAAGTCGGTCCTAGATTTTTAAAAATTAATCGTTTCAAAATTCATTTCTCCAAAATTAAATTTTCCGAAAATTGGTTTAGACCTAAAATTGGCTAAATTTCTTGTAAGCTAGGCTAAGCACATTTTTGATTTTATAAAAAATAGTAAAAATTAAAATTTTGGATTTTTGGTGGTAAAATCGCGATTTTTTCCGAAAAAAATTTTCTCTCTTTTTAATGTTTATGCGTCTGCGGACTCCACCAGACTCGTTATGCATTATGATTAAAGGTCGTTATTCCCGTTTTTTTTAAAAAATCGCCAATTTCAAGGAGCATCTAGATTTTCTCAGCAAAATTCTTGCAAGTTACCATTTTCGAATGAAATTTTCAAGCGGCTTTGAAGGTCATGGTTTCTAATTCTCACGTTTTCCCGGTTTTAGAATTTAATTGCTACTGAATCTCAATTCAATGATATTAATCAAATGCCAATCTGACTGTTTAAAATCAAGGCCGGCAATTGTCAAGTTCACAAGTTTTCAAAGCAGAGATGAAGGTAGTAACACTTTTTTTCTTATTTTCAATTGTTAATTTTTTTAGCTTCTTGCTAGCATCCTTGCTCTAACAAATGCTTATGAGCAGCCAAAGTATGAAGATTTTCTTCGAGCTTTGAATCAGAAGAAGACTGGATGGGGTGCACCAACTGATCGAATTGCCTCTTTTCATGGAAATTGCCCTCCGCTGACCGCTCCTGAGAATGGAAAAGTCGTCTGTGATCAAGCAACATGCGCTCTTGTCTGTAATCAAGGTATTTATTCCAAATAATAATAGAAGTACAGGGATACAGTAAAAACCGAGATTAGGTCGATTTTTAATGTGGAACCGACAAAAAATTTCGACAAATTTTGCGCGGAAATTTTCAACCAATCGGAAGGCTGGATTCGGCAACCGGCCAATCAGCAGCCGAGTAGCCGCCCACGCAAAATTTGTCGAAATTTTTTGTCGGTTCTAGACATCACCCATTTCATTTCTTGTAAGAAATGCAAAAATTTTGAAATTGATTTTTTAGGTTTCGTTGCTGTCGGAAGAAGACGCACAAAATGCCGATTCAATAACATCAAACAGTTTTTTGGAAACGAGAGCTTGGCGAGTGCAAAACATGTCCTGATCTTGCTCCTCCTCCGAATGGAATCGCCGTTGAATGTAAGTCTACTCACGTTGGCAAGAAGAAATGCATCTACACCTCGAAGAACGAGCATCTTGACATTGTCTACGATGCAACGGGCGAGAGATTTGGCGGAATCGGCGCTACTTGCACTTGTCCACGATGGAACAATCGGGTTTGCGGCTGGAACTCGCCAAAGCTCGGGGAATGATCACTGATGCTGACATTGCTGAGCTAAGACAACAAGTCCCATGTGATGCTAGAAGCGGAGCAGATTGCCCATACTCTGAGAATTTCGAAGAACGAACGAACGAGATCCCAAGTTCGCTAAAAACGTGCACTAACAACAGTCCATCGTCAGCTCGTATTGTCGGCGGAACCATCGCGAATCACCAACATTGGCCTTGGTTCGCTCGACTTCACTTTTCCTATGACGGCGAGTACGTTGAGAGCCCTTGCGGTGGCTCGATTATTCGAGACAACTGGGTTGTCACTGCTGCTCACTGTTGCCAAGATCCAAACGGCGATCCAGATGGTGTTTTAGCCGTATTCAATGACTCGAATCAGAATGAATTCAATCCTGGTGAATTTAATCTTACGGCAACTAGCCAAAACTTCTTCACACATGATGATTTCCGGTATGAATTTACTGAAGAATGGTCTGACTCTCCGACTAAGCCCGATCTTTGTCTGATCAAATTCGAGACAAGTATATCTGCTGCCGGCCAAGGGACCAGTGAGATTTGCCTCACAAACGCACTTCCTAAGCGTACGTAAAATTTTAAAAGACAAAATTGAAAATGAATAATTCTTAGATGGAAAAGCGTGCTGGGTTGCTGGATTTGGTACGATCGGAAGATCTGGCAAATTCGTTGGCGAAGAAGCTCCACTATCTCCAGAATTCAAAAGTGTTGGAGTATCAATCATGTCGCGACAATACTGCGAAGCAAAATCGCAGAATCACGAAATCTTCGGCAATTACGCGAAGGAAGATATCTGCGCGGGCCTCCCTGATGTTAATATGGATGGATTGACCGACGGAGCACCCGTTGAAACTTATTGGGACGAGAGCTTAGACGAAGCAACCAATCTTGAGGCGTTTAGCAATGGACTCGATAGTTGCCAAAGTGACTCAGGTGGTCCCCTTGTTTGTGACGAGGGCGGTGTTGCCACTCTTGTCGGCGTTGTTTCGAGAGGAGAAGGATGCGCTTGGGAAAGTTTTCCTGGTATGTACACGTCTGTTGCCATGGACAACTGGATTGAAGAAATCATCGCTAATAATCCAACAGTTCCACCTCCAACGACGCAACCTCCAACGACGAAACCTCCAACGACGCAAGCTCCAACGACCCAATCGACTCAAAGCTCTACGGCTTCAACTCCAGCAGCTGAAGAATTCGAGAAGAGAACGAATGCTATTCCAAGTTCGCTAAAAACCTGCTCCAATAATGTTCCATCATCTGCTCGTATAATTGGTGGAATCGAGGCGAATCACCAACACTGGCCTTGGTTCGCTCGACTTTACTTTTCCTGGGGCGAGCTGCACAATATGGCTCCTTGCGGTGGCTCGATTATTCGTGACAACTGGGTTGTAACTGCTGCGCATTGCTGCCAAGATAGCAAACTAGGCGATGCTGATGGAGTTTTAGCTATCTTTAATGATTCGAACCAATTCGAAGAAAACCCTGGCGAATTCAATCTAACTGCAACGAAGATCATTCCACATCCTGACTATCACCATGGACTGACTGAATCTTGGTCTGACTCTCCAACCAAACCTGATCTTTGTCTTATCCAATTCGACAAGAGTATATCTGCTGGAGGCACAGGAACACGTGAAATCTGTCTTGCTGAGTCGACCCCTCAGCGTAAGTCAATACGTTTCTAAATTTAAACTTAGTTTGTCTTTAAGATGGAAAAGCTTGCTGGGTCGGTGGCTTTGGAAAAATAGGGCGAGATCGGCAACCAGGATCAAATATTGACAGCGCTCCATTATCTCCGGCTTTCAAAAGTGCTGGAATATCAATAATGTCGCACGACTACTGTAACGAGAAGTCGCTAAACTTCAATATATTCGGTCCTTACGCAGAGAATGACATCTGCGCTGGTCTACCTGATAGCGACGGCGATGGACAAACCGACGGAGCACCAGCTGGTACTCTTTGGGACGATGACAAAACCTTCGAAGACACGTCGAAGCTTTCAGTGCTGGTGTCGATGCTTGCCAAAGTGACTCTGGCGGACCACTTGTATGCGACGAAGGCGGCGTTGCCACTCTTGTCGGTGTTGTATCTAGAGGATTCAAATGCGCCTGGGAAGGTTTTCCAGGACTTTACACGTCTGTTGCAACTAAATTGGACAACTGGATCGAAGCAACAATCGATAGCAATCCTACATCACCACCTTCAACAACGACAGCTCCAACGACTCAAAGTTCCACGATTTCAACTTCCGAGACTGGAGAATTCAAAACCAGAACTGATAATATCCCAAGTACATTGAAAACATGCTCTGATGACCAATCATCACCTGCTCGAATCGTTGGCGGAATCAAGGCTGATCACACCCACTGGCCGTGGTACGCTCGACTCTATATGGATTTTGGTGGCACCGGTGGCGGGTGCGGTGCATCGATCATTCATGATAACTGGGTATTAACTGCTGCGCACTGTTGTAAACACTATAAACTGGACGTGATCGCCGACAGCATAACAGCGACTTTTAACGACGCTGACCAGTACGCTACTGATCCTGATGAGTTTATCCGAGTTGCGCCAAAAGAAAATATTTTTCTTCATCCAGGTTACATAGGTTGGCACTTTACCGAAGATGGGATGGCTGATATTTGCTTGGTCAAATTCGACAAAAGTATTTCTTCAGAAGGCAAAGGAACCCGTGAAATTTGCGTCGCTGACAAGCATCCCACACGTAAGCCCCTTTAAGAATCTGTATTAGAAGTAATAAAATTCCGACTTTCTCCAAACCGAGGCCTACCCCATTTATGTCTTTTTAAGACGGAGACGCTTGCTGGGTTGCTGGTTTTGGAAAGCAAGGAGAAGGTTCTCCCTCTACTCAATTTTTCAAGAGTGCAGGAGTTTCAATCATGAATCACGAATACTGCAATGCCAAATCTGGATATCCTCAAAAGGGTGAGACTATCAGAACATACGACATTTGTGTTGGCTATCCAGATGAAGATGGCGACGGAATGACTGACGGATTGAACTATACCTCCTGGAACGTCTACGACGACTACGACACCAATCTCGAGAATTTAAAAGACGGCTTCGGCGTCTGCCAGGGTGACTCCGGCGGAGCTCTCGTTTGTAACGTCGACGGTGTAGCAACTGTCTTTGGTGTTGCTTCTCGGGTAGAGGGTTGCGGCTGGAAAAATTACCCGTCAATCTTTTCGGCTGTTGCGGAAGCTGGGACGGATGATTGGATCGCGCAAACTATCGCTTCCAATACGAATCAAGCTCCAACAACTCAAGCTCCATCAACGCAGGGCTCCACAAGTGCAAGTCAAGCAAGTGACCAATTCCAGCCAAGAACAGATGAGATCCCAAGCACGCTCAAAACATGTTCAAATAACAAACCATCACCTGCTCGAATCGTTGGTGGACTCGACCAAGCAGATCATACTCACTGGCCTTGGTTTGCTCGACTTCAGCTGATCTTCGGTGATAATGCCGGCGGGTGTGGCGGCTCGATTATTCGCGATAATTGGGTGGTAACTGCTGCACATTGTTGTCTTTCGGACGACAACGAGAAAGCTGACAGAGTGATAGCAGTCTTCAATGACAATGACCAAGCGTTGACAAGTTCTGATGAGTTTATCCGAATCGCGCCAAAGGAAAACATTTTTGTTCATCCCGGGTGGACTTCAGGACCAGACCTTGCTGATCTTTGCTTAATCAAATTCGACAAGAGCATTTCCTCTCAAGGCGAAGGATTAACAAGTGAAGTTTGCCTGGCGGACAGTTATCCAAAGCGTAAGTTATAAGCAGGGACCTTCAGGGTGAAGTTAATCATGATATTTTTAAAGACGGAGATGCTTGCTGGATCGCAGGTTTTGGAAGGATCGCAGAACAAGGCCCTCAACAAGGTTCACGATATTTAAAAAGCGCCGGAGTCTCTATCATGGATCTTGACTACTGCAATAAACATTCTGGATACCCTTCCTCGATGATGGGCGCCGTTAAAACCTATGATATTTGTGCTGGCCTTCCAGATGAAGATGGTGACGGATGGACAGACGGAGCAGCCGAAGGAACCGTCTGGGACTACTATGACTACGATGGGGATTATGATGACGGAAAATACGGCCTCGGAAGCTGCAACGGTGACTCGGGCGGACCACTTGTGTGCAACGTTAATGGCGTAGCGACTCTTTTTGGTGTCGTCTCTAGGACTGCACGAGAGGGAGGCTGCGGCTGGGAAAAATGGCCTACAATCTACTCATCTGTTGCCTTCGACAAATGGATCGAAACCACCATCGATTCAAATGCGTAATAATTGAAGAAAGAAGAAGATTCACGAAAGAGAATTGATTACAAAAATTTATCCATTTTTTATTATTTGGTGACGGAATTTCGGTGAATAAACTTGATTAAATAAAAATGTGTTTCAATTTTTTGTAAGAAATTTCTTAGACTTTCAAATCAGTGTGGAAAAAAACCGCAGATTTATCCACTCTTATTCCTTTTTTATTCAATATTTAGACTTGCCAATCCAATTTCATTTAGTCGTGAATTAATTGATATAACAACGGATAGAGAAAGATATCATTTTATTAATATCTATATTTTTTACCGGCATTCATCGTTCGTTCGTCTTCAAAATTATGCAAGTTAAAAAATGCTGTTATCATTGTGTTTTGATTTTGGTTTAATTTAACCCGCGCGGCGGCGACTAAAATGAACCTCGCTCGGAAGAAGCTACTTTGCTGAGTGCGCAAAATATACTCGAAAATTTCCGCTGTTGATTCTTCCTCGCCCAAAATCCGCCAAAAATGAAGCTGCCCGAAGGAATGTATTTTTTGCATTTTAGAAAAGCTATCTAGTCAAACTGGAAAAATGCAAAAAACAAGTAATTCGAAGATCTGGCTACTTTTTGGAGAATTGGCATTCGCGGAAAATGTGTTTGCTTGACGCGCAAAGCAGAATTACATGTAATAATGCCGACCACATTAATTCGTCAGCCTTTTTGATCCGCCCGTTTTTTCTTTTTTGGAAAAGATGAAGCGAACAGTAGAGCGGACAAACATCAAGAATCTCTCTGTTCTCTACCCTGAAATTTTAAGGGTAATGGTATACATCGGCGCGGCGCTGCTCTCTCGATCCGCGCTCCGCCAGAACCTATTTCTCACGGAGCCGTAAAATCTTAACGGATAAAAATTTTTCAAAATTCAAAAAGATTCTGAATAATTAAAGTCTTTTCTACTAGCACAGCAAAATTTGTAATGATTGTCAAAGAGGAACTATCTGAAAATTGCCAGTTTCCTTCAAATGACATTTTCTTCGATATTTCTCCTCCAAAATTTTTGAAAATTACACTGTCTTGTAGAGAATTGTATGCTCTACAAATCCTGTTTTTCAGATTTTTGTTTGAAGCTTTTATAAATTTTACATCGCAATTTGTAAAGAGCGCTACTTCTTCTCGCGCCTCTCCGCTCTCTATTTCTCACGCCACGACCTCGCAGCGCTGACTTCAAGGGCGCATATTAAAATCCAAAGATCTTCAAACAAAAATCTGAAAAACAGGACTTGTAGAGCTGACGATTTTCTACAAGACAGTATAATTTTCAAAAATTTTGGATGAGTAATATCGAAGAAAATGTCATTTGAAGGAAACTGGCAATTTTCAGATAGTTTTTCTTTGACAATCATTTCCAATTTCGCTGTGTTAGTAGAAAAGACTTTAATTATTCAGAATCTTTTGAATTTTGAAAAATCTTTATCCGTTCAGATTTTACGGCTCCGTGAGAAATAGGTTCTGGCGGAGCGCGGATCGAGAGAGCAGCGCCGCGCCGATGTATACCATTACCCTTAAAACAAAGCTAGCGGAGTCAGCCTGTGTACAAAACCTTAGTCAGGGACTGAGTCAGGGACGAAAAATACTTTTCCCTGGCCAGCTTCATTTTCGGATTTTGGGCGAGGAAGAATCAACAGCGGAAATTTTCGAGTATATTTTGCGCACTCAGCAAAGCAGCTTCTTCCGAGTGAGGTTCGTTTTAGTCGCCGCCGCGCGGGTTAAATTAAACCAGAATCAAAACACAATGATAACAGCAATTTTTTAACTTGCATAATTTTGAACGCGAATTCGACCTTTTTGGATATCATTTATTAGCAAGAAATCACATAAATAGTCAACATCCGAGTGAAGTAGGTGTCACATTTAAAATGAAAAATTTCTCTGTTGGCTCTTTTCTTAATCCGATCCCCTTTTATAATTCCGGGATCTAGATTTTATTGCTCTCGGCCGCTTTTTTTATCGCTTATTACTTTGATGAAATTCGGCCGAAACTTTGCGCTTTCTTTTGGATTCTTGTCTAATAAAAAGATCAGTCGTGAATCGCGATTTGATCATTTTTATAAAGAAATAAACATCAAAATAAAAATCTTTCTCTGAAAAGAAATCAAAAGGATGATTTAATTGGTAGTTGTTAAGGAGCTTTGCGGCTTTGTTTTCTGAAAAGCCGCTACGCGGCTTTTATTACATCACTTTACCCTGACTCAGGTTTTCTTTAAAGAGGCAAAAAAACGAGAACTAGAGCTTTTGGACGAAAAGTTCACTTGACTCATTATTTTTTGATGAAATCTTCGAGTCAGCTGAGAAGAATAAATTCATTGAACAGCGCGTGGCACGAGTTGAATTGCTATTTTGGCTGTAAAGTTGCGCAAGTGCGAAAAACTACAGAGGCACGAGCGGATGTGTCTGTGTATCTTTTAGATAATATTAATTGGATTCAGTTACAGGATTCGCGCTTCTTCGATTTCGCAGCTTTTCTTTTGCTCCAAACACTTATTTTTTCATGTCTTGGTTCTTGTTTTCTGACTGTAATGACTGTAAGTGAGTGTGACAAGCAACTGTATCTGCCTGTAAATAGCGCTGGGGTCGCCTTACGGGGAAGCGTCTAATTCAATTGATCCGTTAATAGCTCTTAAAAGACTACGTAAAGCGACTATTCAGCTCCGATTTCATGTTACACCCGGGCAAATACAATTAAAACACGGAAGATTAGTGTGTTTTTAACACGAAAAAGACGATAAGTTTTAGTTGGGATATGTTTTTAAAACGCGGTCGGAATAGAAGTGATCTCGATTAAAGACCTTCACTTGAAAAAGCCTTTGACGTGCTTTTTTAAGGTTAAGCAAGTTATTTCTCTTCGTACCTCTTTCTAGACCTGGAACACCATACATATTTGGAATCAGCAGAAAATTTTAAGAACTTTGACCGTTTTAGTTTCGAAAATTTCCACTTCCGGTCCGATTCTAGAGCCGGAAGTTAGTGAAATTTTTAAGTTTAGGCAACTTGTGACCTATCAAATTGATTCTCAGAAGATTTCCTATCATCTGAGAGAAGAATCAATGTCGACCGCGGTCAAATCAAGCGCTGAAAGCGTAAAGAAAAATCACAAATTTATGCCTTTTTCCTAGTTTTGCCGGTCGGTTTGACCGCGATTGGGATGGTTTTTGGATGATTTTTAGATGAGATGAATCAAAATCTTCTGAGCATCAATTTGATAGGTCACAAGTTGCCCAAACTCAAAAATTTCGTTAACTTCCGGCTCTAGAATCGGACCGGAAGTGGAAATTTTGGAAACTAAAACGGTCAAAGTTCTTAAAATTTCCTGCTGATTCCAAATATGTATGATGTTCCCGGTCTAGAAAGAAGTACGAAGAGAAATAACTTGCTTAACCTTAAAAAAGCACGTCTTTGTAGAAACCCTTGGCTCGGAAACCTGTGTAGAAAACCTGAGTCAGGGACTGAAAGATCTTTGGGATCCTGGGGAGCTTTTTAGAGCTTTATTTTAATATTTGATGCAATTAATGTTAGTAGGAATGTTTGATCTAGATCAGTAGACTTGTGCTCAACTATTTGATGAGATCGTCCAAAAAGATTCTTTTAAAAGAACGACAAGAATAATAAGAGTATTAATTTCATTCCGATTAGTTGCCGCAAAATTGAACTCCTTCCGCATCTGCTCAGCTTCTCTTTATGGTGTTTTCACTTTTCCTCGTTTCGCGCAGTTTGGCTCCGAATAAAATAGACTAAAATTTCATATTTATTAACAATTAAAAGTGAAACAGAAAATAATATTTATATTTTGTTTATTGATTATACAATTTAAATGTAATTCATATACTATTAAATATTTATTATATTAATTATTTATTAATTATTAAATTAAATTTATTAATTTTATCGAATTTCTATAAGTTTAAAAATAGAAATTTTTCTTGGAAAAAAACTAAAAAACTTCAGCTATTTTTTTAATTTTTGATACTTTTGAATATTTCGTATAGATTGGAACTCGTATATTTCTCCTTCTTTGCGGCGAAAAAAGACCGCTGAGGAATTAGCAGAAATGTCTCTATTTCTTTAATAAATATTTAAAACGCAAAAGATAATAAAAAATGGTTATTCCATTTTTTAGCGGCGACCGTTTTATTTATCGAAGTTACACGAAAACCATGTAGTAGCAACAGCACCAGGCTCTAAATTTCAACAAGTCCCAAAATCGTAATCGCAACGCATTCTAGGGCAACGTGGCCAGAAACAAGGATGCTATACTTTTAAAACGCCACTGCGGAAGATAAAATATTTAAATTGGGAAAAATGGCAGCTTCTTTTTGAGATTCTTCGCGGGTCGTATTTTCTGCAAAAATTCTATTTCAAATATCATATTTAAATTATTTATTATTATATTATTAAATATGAATAATAATAATTATTTTTATAAAAAAATATTTTTCTTTTAATTAATTGGCTTTTGTAAAAAAATATTTTTAAATTATTTAATAATAATTTTTAATTAAACATGAATTAATATTATTTATTTTCATATTTATTATCGTTTTTTAAATATTTTTTATTTTATTAATTAATTATTTCAATATTATTTATTATTAATAAAAAGAAATTACTTTGATTCATTTGATATAATTTTTTATTGAAAAATAATTCGAAAATTGTGCAACCAAAGAAAAAGTGATTTATTTTATTACATTTGTGAATGCGAGTAATTCATTGATCTGAAACAAAGCTAAGACAAAAAAACGTGAGAAGAAAAAAGGTGTCTTTAAAATATTTTCGCCGGGGCTGGGCGCGTAGCGATCCCCTCGTTAAAGTTTCTACACAACTCAAAGCTAGCATTCTTTTTAGACACTTTGGAGAGGCCTTTTTAAAATTTTCTAAAAAAGGTCGATTTTGGATCTGCGACTAATAGAGTCGTGATTTAAGTTCATACTTTTTACCCAAAAATTTGGAGATTGACACCCTTATTGATTCAAAAATTTATATTTTGAATTCGAATTAATTTGACTTTTCTACAAACTTTACATATTGATACCCTTATTTTTCTGCTGTCGAAAATAAATAAAAAATTACTTATCGACAATTCGACTGAGAAACCTGAGTCAGGAACCTAAAACAGTAGTAATTAAAAGAAGTAGTTTTTCAACTGCTTTTTAGGGCTTTTTTAGATGCCTGACTCAGGTTTCTTAGCTAAATCGTAGATGATAAATTTTATTTTTCATTATTTTTATAGCAAAAATAAGGGTATCACTATGTTAAGTTTTTGTAGAAAAGTCAAAATAATTCGAATTCAAAAAATCAATTTTAAAATAAATAAGGGTGTCATGTTATTAATTTATTTATCTATTTATCAGCAGAAAAATAAGGGCATCACTATGTTAAGTTTTTGTAGAAAAACCAATTAATTCGAATTCAAAAAATCTAACCCGATAAGTTTGTAACGGACGGCAATTTAGAATTAATAAAAATGAGAATTAATAAAAAATGAGAATTAATGTTTTTGCGTTTTCGTAAGAAGCCCCCTTCTGGGCTACAGTAAGAAAGCGCTTGGGCTGTCCACGAGTCCATGGAATCTGCTGGCTAAAGCAACCACAAGCTGGAGTTGTGAAAACGCCGCTCGGCGCGAGCTTTTCAACCCTCCGTCAAAAAAAGACGCTGCCCCTCCTTGTGTTCACAAAAAGCGAGTCTTTAAATGGGTGTTGCAGAGTCGGCACGCGTTTAATATGGAAATCCCCTTTATTTTTAGAGCGCCGGTGATGCAATTACTCGCGCTAAGTTTATCCACACGCCCCGGACTTGGGACTAAGATTTACTTTTCCTTCCTCTTTCAAATGGCGCCTGTTTACAATATCAACTTTTTCTTTGCCCTGATTTTCAAAAGAACTAATAAATTTATTGCTAAAATTTTCAGTTATCTGAAAGAAATTTTTTATTAAAAATTCACATACAGTTGCAGTAAGGTTTTTAGACTTTATTCATATATAACCACCGTCAAGGCCTTGGCAATTTTCTTGGCTTCTTGTTTCATTTTAGCATCTATTAAAAAATTCCCACAGAAGCTTATTTTCAAGCAAGAATTCACGGTTTCTTGAGCAGCTAGAATTTCGCACGCTTGATGAACCAGAAAATGCAAATATACAATTCCTTCCCTTTTTCACGAAAGTATATCTTTTGATGCAACAATTTGATAAACAAATTTCAATAACAAATTGAGACAACTAAGCAATATGATTTGCTTTTGCTTCCTTATCAAAAAGCGGCAGTTTACTCTCGGGGGTGGTGGTCGAGATTTTTTCCACGATTCTTGATCTCTAAATTTTGAGTGTGATCAATAAATATTTGATGATTTTTGCTAGAAAATTTCAACAAAAATTTCTCATATGATTGGTCTGAAAAAATTTAATTTATTTAAATTCACAGAGCAATTTTTTCTCATTTATTTAGAGTTGGGCAATCAGGGAACAGTAGTAGCATATATGAATTGTGTTGTTTCATTTTAGTTTCATTATGAGACCTCATATATAATTCAAATTGACAGAGCAGTACGATTTTTGGCTTCTTTCACATAAGAACGATTTCGAGGGTTGAATCTCTGTAGGTCGTTTTGTTTCATTTTAGTTTCTTAAAAAATCCCCACAGAAGCTAATTTTTAAGCAAGAATTCACGGTTTCCTGAGCAGCTAGAATTTCGCACGCTTGATGAACCAGAAAATGCAAATAAACAATCCCTTCCCCCAGTCTTTTCACTCAATCTTTTGATTATTCTTCTGCGATTTTCATTGAAAATGAATAAAAAATCGGTAACTACGTTTTCGTTTCCTGGAAGCGTATCTAAACATGCAGGAGATTTGGCTCCACGAGCGTGCTATTGAATACAAAGTGAAAATATTTTCTTAGTCAGTTTTGAAGAAGCCAATTCAATCAGGAAAGAAACACGTAACTGCCCATTATTTCCACCGCCGCGGATTCCAACTGTCACGGCACTTGCTCGTTTTATGACGCCGCCGCCAAATTTGCTCGAAACGGAATTTTTAACATTGTGACACCCTTATCTTCAAGTAATTTTACCTTATTTAAATTTCCTTGAAAGTCAAAATCTTCAATTTCTAAAAATTTTTGTTTTCAAAAATAAGTTTTATTTTCAAACTCCTCTCACTTGGCAAAAATGTTAAGAAACTTGAGCGGAAATTCTGGTACTAAATGTGAAATATTTTGTCCAAAATTCCAGGGAAATAAATATTTTTCTTTTTAAGATCGTGACGCCCTTAGTTTTGTTATATCTAATCAAGTTTATTAATGCCAAATTTACAACAAAATAAGGCAAGTGAAAATTTAGCATTGATAAACTTGATAAGATATCACAAGACTAAGGGTGTCACGATCTTAAATTTGCCTCAGAATATTTTAGGGTTAGGGTTTGACATTTATCCTACTAACCTTAGAATTACCCTAGGTAAAGAAATATGCCAGGAATCTCATTCGAAAAGCCAAATTTTCGTGGTTGACACCCTTAAAAATCCGGTGAATCGTTTTGACTCCCTGCGTCATCAGACAGAATTATGAATTCACATTAATTCCTCTTTTTTTGTGGAATTAATGCTCAAGTGACGCTGACTTGTAGCGTGAAAAATTACATTTCTAGTGGGTATAAGTCGCAGTACGTTTTTCGGAGGTGAACAGCGGATTTTCGCCTTGTAAACACGAAAAACGGTGCTGACTGCTTAACTGTAAGAATCTTGCGTATTTCTACGTTTTCGCGATTCCGCAAATCTTCAGTTTGACGCTTTGACTTTTCTTCAAATTTTTCCCTTGCTTTCATTTTGAATAAAACACTTCTGACGCCTCTAGTTGACTCTCAAATGCTCTAATAATCGTGTCGATTGATGGAAATGCTTATTGCCTCATGTCGCAATGCAGGAATGTTTTCTACAAACGCATTCTGCGCGCCCCTTTAAAATGTAAATTCAGGGAGGTTATGTTCGCCCCGCATCCCCTGACGTGGACCCATTTTAAACTAGCAGAGATGCTATTTCGGAATAGACGGAATTCGAGATTTATGAATAAAACCAAGCTTTATTTAGGAAAAACCCCAAGCTGGCCTCATAAATGGAAATATTTTGTTTATTTGAACTCTGTATTCAAGGAGAGTACTCAGGGAAACAGTAGTTCTCACACGTTTCGGTGCAATAGTCAGGCATCACTTCCATTACAATCGGTTTGTCAATTATTTGCTGATGATAGTTCAGAACTTCTGATGATGTCACATGAGTACCATTCCAAAAGCCTTTTCAACTGCAAACGGACTTATCTCGTTTAAATGGGATCCACGTAATATATCAATACTCTACCTGATGTTGCCACTAAAGGAAAAGAAATAGTCACCGAAATGAATCAAAGCATTAAGCATAGTAACCTTAATTTTTGTTATGCGAATAATTCAAGTAGCATGATTTTGCCTCTTTGAGCTTTCCAGCAGTAAACCACTTCTGATTTTTCAAAACATAAACGTCATTGAGATAAATTATCTCGTCATTTACAAGAGTTCGACCGCCAACTGTTATAAGATCATCATTGATTGTCATGCAACCCACCCAGTTAACTTTTTTTGGAAAATCTTCAATAACCGTCCATCCTCCAAGACCAAGAGTTTCCGTTTTCTTTGAATACCGGTCAGAGTCATTTCCTCCACCAATAGCTGTTGGTGCACGATTGTGCAAACACATGCTCCCGTGGTTATGTGGATAATTTGATAGAAAGGGATTGTCCTTGGATCGTTCACCATCAAAATCTTCACATTTCGTATAAGAACCTGACGCAAAACAGAGAAAAACTTCATTAGGCGAGGTATCAACGAGCACTAAATCTCCTCTGTAGGAACGATACCCATCCAGAAGTTCGATCGACAACTGTTCAATCGAGCACGAATTAAGTTTCGCGATCTTAAGAAAATTAGATTGAATTCAAATATCCTTTCATTTACTTTTTATCAGAAAATTTTCCCCGAAAATGTACACTTCGCCATTGAGAATCGAGAAGCCAGCAGATTCTAGATATGAGTACGTTCCATCGCCATCTGGAATATCGAAATGTCGATTTTCAATAAAATGGCCATCCGAAGAAATTACATAGCTGATTCTGTGATCTCGCCATTCACCCAGAGCCAAAATGAACGGTTGGCAATTGTATCCATTTTCACAGGGACATCCGCCAGGACATTCAGCCATGCAAGGGCATCGTTCCGAGGCGACCGTAAAATTTCCATAGCAAAGGTCAAAGCAGTCTTTATTTGCCACACAATTGACTACGCAATCTTTCAATTCACGCCCCGCCTCTTCGATGCATTGCTTGTATGTAGGATTAGTAATTTCCGGATCCTTGCAAAAGCACAAAGGATGCTCACAATCAAAGCAGCCTTCAGGACAATCTCGATAACAAGGACATGAATCAATGCAAGCTAAAATTCCGGGGAAAAACAGAAACAAAAAACAAAAACCTGAAAATGAAGCGAGACACTCAGACTCGCAAATAGAATCAGTACATGCTTCCCTGCACTCGACAAATTTCTGTCCGCACTGGCCATTGCAAATCTCTGCCAAATCTTGATCTCTAAATTCTTGATAAGAAATGATAAGAAAATATCCACTTTACGGGCATTCTCTCAGATCTTTCTGGAGATCTGTGCCAACAGCAACTTGCAGAAACAAAAATAGAAGCTTCAAGATCATTTTTTGCAAATTCAGATTTGCAGAAAATAAAGTTTCAGAATTTTTCTTCTTGATATTTGCCTTGTGGTCTCCTTTCTTCCTCGCTTAGAGCTGGTCTCGAAAACCTGTGTAGAAAACCTGAGTCAGGGTCTGAAAGCGGCTTCTTTTATAGAAAGATCTTTCAGACCCTGACTCAGGAAACCTGTGTAGAAAACCTGAGTCAGGCTCTGAAAGTTCTTTCTATAAAAGAAGACGCTTTAAGACCCTGACTCAGTTTTTCTACACAGATTGGCTGAGTCAGGGTCTAAAAGTTCTTTCTGTGATAAGAGACGCTTTCAGACCCTGAGTCAGGTTTTCTACACAGGTTTCCTGAGTCAGGGCGTGAAAGATCGTTCACCTAAAGAGGCCGCTTTCAGAGCCTGATTCAGCTTTTCTATACAGGTTTCCTGAGTCAGGATTCGAAAAGATCTTTCTATAAACAAAGCCGCTTTCAGACCCTGACTCAGGTTTTCTACACATTTTCCCGAGACGAGATTCTATGAGAAATGACAGACTCCTTGTAAACCAAGTTTTCCCTTTCTATTCTTGAGATGGCGAATGAAGCATTGAAGAATCGCTTTTTAGAACTGTTTGGAGTCAGGAAACCAAGTCTTACAAAGTAACAATCTGGTGCGCGCTTTATCTGCTGCTGCGCGGACAAAGTGTTGCCACATCCGAGTGAAAGCGAAATTATCCCTCTGATTGACAGGAACACGTGCAAGGGCAGCCTTGAGGTTAGCAGACCTACTTGAGCCCTCTTTTCTAAAGCCGAATGGACAACGACTAAAACACTCGTTTAATAACTCACTGTCACGTTTAGTTACCACTTCCTTCTTGGAAGATTTTCTTGAAGAAAAATGGGTTGGTGTCTGGAACCGACAAAAAATTTCGACAAATTTTGCGTGAAAATTTTCAACCAATAAAACAGGTGTATTCGGCTAACCGGCCAATCAGCAGACGAGTAGCCGCCCACGCAAAATTTGTCGAAATTTTTTGTCGGTTCCTGACACCAACCCGAAAAATCGGGTAGAACCAATTTTCGGAACAGATTTTTATGGAAAAGGTTTTGATTGGCCGGTAGGCCAAATACAGCAATCTTATTGGTTATCCGAAAATTCATTTCCAAAAGTTGGTTCAGTCCAAAAATCCAGCAAAATTCACCGAAAATCGGCGGAAAATTCTGGGGAAGTAAAGTAAGTACGCGCGAAATCGAGGTTTTTCTGCTTCTATCGCTGTCGATTTTCTCCGCTTATCAAAAAATTGGCGCACCTGGCAAAGAAGAATCAGACATAAACAGAACCAGTGTTAACTCACTTTGCAAGACGCGAAAGTTTAAAAACTTACATTTTCAAATCTAAACTTTATTCTTGCGTTTTAGCTAACTATTGCTATTTCTCGGAGGCAGGGATTATTCTCAATAAGCATTTAGAAGTTTTTTTTCTTGCAAAATTTATGAAAAAGCGGAGTCTAAAAATTGAGGCACGCTTGAAATTTAAAAGTTGATTATAGCTGTAAACACGAATTGAGTAACATCGAATTTTATGTTTTGAAACTGCTATATTTTGCGATACACTAAACAGGGGTCGAAATTAAGGTCGATAACCTCTTAGTCCAGGCATAAATCGACCACGGTGGTTATTTAGAGTGAAAGCAATTCCGCGAAATATTTCAGATTTTTCTTTTTAAAAATAGTTTTTGAAATTATGTCAAATAAAATAAATCGAAAATCAACAATTGTTCCGAAAGATAACAACTTTTTCCATCTTGATCAAGCTCGCTGATTGATCGAAAATAAGAAGGGATGATCAGGCCAATCAAGAGGCAAGATAGTGTTCTTTTTTGAATTTTAGAGCTGAATAGAAAATAGAAAGTAGTTTGGAGCAACAAAAGATGTATTCTAATCAATTCGAAACTCTCGTCATTCTAAGAAGTTTGAATTGCGACGGCTTCTTGATTTTCATAATCAGTTAAATCAAGTGCGCGCGACTTGTCCTAACCCTTCGCGTAATATCATCTTGCGGCACCTTCAAAACTCGGTAGAAGACATCTTGAATCGCCATTTTTTACTTTCTTTCATCATTTCAAAATTTATCGAATTGACGCCCTTATTTTTTCGCCAAAAGAAAGCTCAACCCTTTGCCCAGTGCCTGAATACTAGATTTAGCAGCCATTTCTTTAAAAATTTAAGTTATTGTAGTGACACCCTTATTTTATTTCACCAAAAGGCTCTATTCTTTATCCAGTGCTTATAAAGGCTGGGGTTGGTAACCTGTGTAGAGAACCTGAGTCAGGGTTCTGAATTTGTTCTAGGCAATTTTAACAAGGATTTTTCAGGTCCCTGACTCAGGTTTTCCACACAGGGTGCCAATCCCAGCCTTCATAAGCACTGAATAAAGGATACGGCCTTTTGGTGAAATGAAATAAGGGTGTCACTACGATAACTAAAATTTTCAGAGAAAAGACACAAAAAGTCGCGATTCTTGGTGTCTACCCCCTTAAAAAACAACTGAAGCAGAATTCTTCGGGCTCAATTTGTCTGTTTATGCTTGGAACACAATTTGAAGGACTCGAGATTTTAGAAAAGACGAAAATTGTAAAAACTTCGAATTCATTCACCATAAGTGTATTTTTACCATAATCCTCGATTCGGCGGAACTAGACACGCGCGAATGGGATTAAAAGCCCCTTACACAAAAAGTAAATTATCTTTCGCGTTCGTTTTTCCTCAATTTCCAGAGCCGAAAAAAGGGACGTGGTACAACGCGGGATTAACTCGCCACGCCGCTAGCTCGATCGAATTTTCAAAATTGAAAATTTTTTGCTTTTTCGAAAAAGAAACTCTCGAAAATCGCTGTTGATTGACAAAACAAAAACAGATTTTAATCCTCCAAAATTATTTGTATTTCAAACTTATCGCCCAAAAACCAGAAAATTGAGAGTTTAGATTTAATTAAATAAAAAATAAAGCCGTCATTTCTCTACCGCCGAGGTCACTATTCTTGACAGAAAATATCTTCTTTTAGCTAGACTCGGAAACCTGTGTAGAAAACCTGAGTCAGGTTCTGAAACGAAAAGCAGCGTAGCGGCTTTTTCAAACGAAGCCGCAAAATATTCTAATGGTAATATTTGCGGCTATGTTAAAAACACTGATCTAGGGAACCTGTGTAGAAAACCTGAGTCAGGGTCTGAAACCGGCTTCTTTTTAAGAAAGAACTGTCAGACCCTTACTCAGGTTTTTTACACAGGTTTTCTGAGTCAAGGTCTGAGAAGATCTTTCTATAAAGGAAGCCGCTTTCAGACCCTGACTCAGGTTTTCTAGACAGGTTTTCGAGCCCCAATTGAATCATTTGAAAAATCAGACGGTCTGTAATAAGTTTTGGTTCTTCTCATTTTGTTTTTCTTTTTACCAAACTAATTTTATTTTGCTGTTCACTTGAAAATTGTCTTTTTTCTTCGGAAATTGCGCTGCAATCAAATTTAACAAAATCTGCCAGAAGTGAAAAAGTAAGCTGTTTTTTCACCTCGTTTGGTACATTCCCTTACGAGGAAAAAGCAAGTGAGCTTGTGAATGTCATTGTCACGGATTAGGAAAGGATCATCCGTTTTTGGGCACGTGACTCCTCGATCCTTTTAGTTTCGAAAAAGCGAAAATTAAATTGAATTATGAATTATTGGAATTTGGAATTGAAGCGAAAGAAGAGGTGCAGGAGATACGTCCAAACTCGCGTTATGTTTATTTATTCATCAATGGTTAAAATAAGAGTGAACTATTAAATGACTTTGCCATCGCTGCGTTACGCCGCTTCACATACTGTAATACATGTCGTCCATTTCGGGCGGCCCATTTGAAGCTATCGTCATTATCGACGCTACAAATTTTGGTAAGAGGAATTTGGTTCATCGATAATTTTAATAAAAAGGGCCCCTTATTAAGGGGTATTCAACATATTCGGATTTTTCTTTATAGTTTTAGATAGTGACACCCTTATTCCACTTCAAGGACAAGCTCTTGAAAAACTCAATTATGCATTATACTTTCCTTAGAATAAGGGTATCACTATCTTAATACTGGGGGAATTCAGCATATTCGGATTTTCCTTCATATTTTTAGATAGTGACACCCTTATTCCGCTTCAAGGATAAGTTCTCTTATTAATGCCAAAAACTCAACAATTATGCATTATACTTTCCTTAGAATAAGGGTATCACTATCTTAAGCTCCAAAGAAGTTGCTGAAGCGAAATAACCCTAACCCTAACCATAAATCATTCATAGAAAATTTCAACTTACAAATAATATCATTTTTTCCAGTCCGTCCAGGCGTCTTAAAATTCATTCCATAGTCCATATTTTCTCCTGAAATAATAACTGAAATTGAAGAATTTTTACGAAGCAAATTTTTCTCGAAATAAACATTTTAGCTTGCAAAATGAAAAAGAACGCACCTAGGTCTTGTGTGTCGATAAATCCCTTGAGCAGATTTGGAATAACGCTCGAGCTGCATATCGTTACTATTGCTGCTTCAGCGGGTACAATTACGTTCTTTTTTTACGTTGAATTTAACGAAGCCTAATTGCTAGCTCGAGTTTCTTTTTTGTCGTATAAAATTGAGCTCTTTTTCCTAATTAGTTATTATGCTATTATTTTCAATCTTGGGATCACGAGGGCTTTTGTTATTCTCAAAGTTACTCAAAAACTGAGCGCAGCATTTCCTTTATAGAAAACCTGAGTCAGGGTCCTGTGCAAGTCCTGACTCAGGTTTTCTATAGAGGTTGCCCTTTCCGAGCGCTAGACTCAACAATCTGTATAGAAAACCTGAGTCAGGGTCCTGTGCAAGTCCTGACTCAGGTTTTCTATAGAGGTTGCCCTTTCCGAGCGCTAGACTCAACAATCTGTATAGAAAACCTGAGTCAGGTTTGTGGAATATTTCAAAAACCCGCGTCTCTGCAAATCAGAACCCTGACTCAGGTTTCCTGCACAGGTTGCTGAGATAGGCCCTTCCTGTCTTCCTTACTTGCTTCTCAATGCAACCTAACTCTCTAAGATCTACTAGTAAATTCTTGAAATTGTAATTTTGCACCCTTGAATAAAAAAGTCTCAGCATGCTTTCTCTCTTTTCTGGAGGAATTAGTTGAATGTAACTGTTTTGCAGCTGCACTTTGCCTTTTAGCTGCATCTCGTTAGTTTATTGATGAGTTGGTGCCGTCACCAATAGTGTAGAGAATGTTGAGAAAAAAACGATTATTTATTTAACACTTTGTACAGAAACTTTTACAGGTTGTCGATTTTGGGTTAGGGTCGAATTGCGATTTGGAACTGAAAATCTACTTGTTCAGACGAATAAATTAAACGCTAAAACGCAGGCGATTAGCAACGTCGACGCTTTCACCAGCGACGACGAGGACGGCTCGATTGTCGTTGTCTGGATTCGAGGATTGATAGAAGTTGTCTCCTCGTTTTGAGACTGCTCTGTGGACACTATCGTGGTTTTTGATGATTCGGTGGAAGTTATGTTGCTGCTTGTTTTTCGAGTTGTTGTGCTTGTTGTCGTCGTCGTTGTGGTTGTAGTTGTGGTTGTAGTTGTCGTTGTCGTCGTTGTAGTGGTCGTGGTTGTCGTTGTGGATGTCGTTGTGGATGTTGTCGTCGTTGTGGTTGTAGTTGTTGTTGTCGACGTTGTTGATGTTGTTGTTGTTGTTGTTGTTGATGTAGTTGATGTTGTGGTTGATGTTGTTGTTGTTGTTGTTGGAATCATAGTTGTCATTTTGATAGTTTTAAGTGGAGTTGTTGTTGTGGTGGAAGTTGTGGTCGTTGATGTAGAAGTAGTCGTAGAAGTAGTCGTAGAAGTAGTAGTAGTCGAAGTGGTTGTTGTTGTTGTTGAGGTTGTGGAAGTGGTGGAAGTTGTCTCGGCAAGAATTTCTTCCGTAGTCGTTGGAATAGAACTAGTTGTTGTTGGAAGACTAGTTGTCGTTGGCTCCACTGTTGTTGGCGCAACTGTAGTTGTTGTTGGAAAGGTAGATGTCACATCGAGATTGAGCGTGGTCGACGTTGGTTCCGCAAAAGTGGTGGTTGTTTCGACGGACAGTGTTGTTCTGAAAGTACTTTTTTAAAACACGTTCACGAGAAAAGACACAGTCGATGGTCGAAATGAATAATTGAGAGCTGTACTTTACTCTCCCGGGAAAAGAGGCTCCAGTTTTGCCCAATTTCTGATCTACTGAATGTTAATGCTACTAAATCTACTTTTTGAATGATGCATCGGACTTGAGGAGGACTTGATTAATTTTTTTCCCGGAAAAGAGGGGACTAAGCAGTCGGATTGACCGGTAAAAGAACACTTACGTTTCTTCCTTTGAACGTGGAGGTTGATCATCGCGCCCGCCAAAGGGAATGACTGTAACTCCGAGCGCGTCGATTTGATTTTGAAAAGTGTCGAGTTTCTGACTCTCCAAATTCTCAAACTCTTCCTCGCTGCCTTTCTTCCCGTACATTCCTAAATCAAGTTCAAGTTGTTTCAATTTACCTTCGAAGGCGCCAAGGTCGAGAGTTTCGTCCACTTCGTCTTTTGCTACTGTAGCTGGTGTTGTGTTGATTTCCATGATTTCCGATTGATCAGTTGTGAAGACAGGGAGAGCATTCGCTTCTTAAATTTTATATCGTAAAATTGTCATTTTAAAATTAAGGGTGTCAACAACGATTTCGCCAAAGAACATTAACCCAATCGTTGTTGACACCCTTAAGCGCGGGGAATATGACTCGGCAACCTTTGTAAAAACCTGAGTCAGGGTCCTGAGTACCACGGAGCGAAGCCGCTAAGCAAGACCCTGACTCAGGAATTCTACACAGGTTTCTTAGCCGAGAGTAGCTGAGCCCAGATTGTGACAACTCAGAGTCGGGAAGACGATTGCAAGATTAGATAAGAAGAAGAGGGAGGGAAAATATTAACGGTCCGGATCGCGGAAATTGCCACTTTAAAGTTAGGTGATGGGTCAACTCAAAATCGCCATCTCAAAATCCGCAGCGATCGAAACTCCAAAATTCAAAATCAGAAATCAATTAGAGGACAGCATTTTTTTGCTTGTTTTGAGCAGAGCTACGATTCAGCGCTAAAACAAATTGACACTATCAAAGGAAAGCTTAACGGAGCCGAAATCGTTCTAAAAATAATCCCGAAAATAATTGAAACTGATGTTAATATTATTAACGCTCAAGGAACTAATTGTCCTGCTTGATTTTAAACTAGACTTGAGTCGAATGGAACAGTTGGAAATGAAAACAGCGGAAGTTGATTTACAAATTCAGCGGATTTAGATTTTTGTTTGCCAAATTGTCTCTAAGTCCAGAAAGACTACTAGCCTAAGGCTCGACAACCTGAGTAGAAAACCTGAGTCAGGGTCAGAAAAACGTGAAGCCGCTTCGTGAAATCGCCTGACTCAGGTTTTCTACACAGGTTGCCGAGATCAGGGGTTAAACCAAATTATAGAAATGATTTTAAAGATCAGGGTTTTGATTGGCCGGTGGGCCAAATGCAGCAATCTTATTGGTAATCCAAAAATGCCGCCCTCTTTCCTGAATTTTTCCAAAAAATAAATTTATTAAATTGTCAGTGATCGATTTTTCATTAAAATACAACGATAAAAAATGCGTCTATCAGTCGAAATAAATTATTATATCGGCAGACTTCAAAAGAAGCCACTATCGGCTGTCTTTACTTTCTATCGCAAAAATAAAATTCTCTTACGAAGAGAATGATCATAATTGGGAATCTATAGATGAATTATCCGAGAATATGAAGCGGAAAATTAACTGTCATACCGGTATAGTCTGTACAATCGCAAGTTACAATGTGGAGGACCTTATTCGAATTTTTTGAATTAAAATTATTGAATAAAATATTAATTTCATTAAAAAATATACTTTTTAATTTAAATTTATATGATTATGCTTAAATTCAGGTAATGATAATTATTATTAAAAAAAAATTAAAGAAAAATATTTAAAAAATATTAAAAAAATATTTTTTATTATTAAAATTTTTCTTTTATTAATAAAAATTTTTTTTATTATTAAAAATTTTTTTTTATTATTAAAAAAATATTATACAAAAAAGGTTCCAAAAAGATATTTTATCAGTAATAAATAATTTGAAATATTTCTAATTAATTAACTGTAATATTAGCTGCGGATAATTACTGAAGCTGTGAGCAGTTTTGTTCGATTTCCAGTAAGAAGGGATAATTTCCAGTAATCGACCAAAACGCCTTGTCATGAGCGCTTGTTGGAATTTTGCTTTGGCCGCTTTAGAAAACTGGCGTTCCAGCAAAAATGAAAAGATTATTTTGCTTTTCACCTGTGGTTTCGAAGAGTGGCATCGCCGCAGTCGTGTAGAAGCCGTTTAGAAGGAAATCCATCGCAGTTGTGCCCAATGAATAATTGTCGACGGCGAGCTCTTGTGAATTCTTCAAGAAGATGTTCTGAAAAGAGAAACTTACAGATACGCTTTTTCGTGTTAGAAAACTAGTTTCGCGAATTTTTAATCGGCCAAATGAGCCGGGTTGAGCGCTACAGAAATTTCCAGGAATAAGAAATAGAATGAAACGAAATTTGAGCTTTTGATTGGCCAAAATAGAACAATCGAATTATTTTTCATGTGTTCCATACGCACATTGTTCTTGGCAACCTGTGTCAGAAAACCTGAGTCAGGGTCTGAAAGATCTCGTAGACGCGGCTTTTTTTCTCTGCGGCTTCATTGAAAAAAAGCCGCCGCTTCTCATTAGAGATCATTCAGACCCTGAATCAGGTTTTCCACACAGGTTGCCGAGCTCAGTAGAAAACCTGAGTCAGGGTCTGAAAGATCTCATATACGCGGCTTTTTTTTAAAGCGGCTTCGCCAAATTATATTTTAGATCAATTTTTCAGATTCTGGCAAAGCCGCGGCTATTCATTAAAGATCATTCAGACCCTGACTCAGGATTTCCACACAGGTTGCTGAACCCAAGCCTGTATGAAACGAGTGTTAGGAGGTTTATGCCCAGAAAATCGCTTTTGAAGACCGCTCAAAATCGCAAAATTGGAGCAAGATTAAATTGGCGAACGTAATTTGCTGAGGGGAGCAAAACGTGAAAATACATTGCACAAAAGTTTGAGCCATTTGTTCCAGCTTAAAAGCGGATTAGAAAATATGAGCTCGGCGCGCACGAAGTGATTTCTGCTACACGTGTCGCTCCCTAATCCTATTTTTGCCCAATTTCGAAGCAGCTCTCTTTTTTTTCAAAAATTGAAATTGGAAAAACATTTCATCCAAAAACAGTTGCTAAAAAAAAGCGGTGATGGGTGTTTCCTAATTGATAATTAACGATGTTCAATTTCGATTTTGAGCGAGTTATTACCGAGACTTGTTAATCTAAATAGAAGCATCATTTTCTCAACTGCTCAACTTCTGGAGATATCTTAAGGGGACAGCCCTCGCTACTTGTCAAAAATTGACACATTTTTTCGGGATTTTGAAAATAACCCCGAGGAAGCTTTTCTTTGAAGATCTTCCGAGACCCTTACTAAGGTTTTGTACTGGGCTCGGCAACCTGTGTAGAAAACCTGAGTCAGGGTCTGAGTGATCTTTAACGAATAGCCGCGGCTTTGCCGGAATCTGAAAATTGATTTGAAATATAATTTTCCGAAGCCGCTTTTAAAAAAACCGCGTAAATAAGATCTTTCAGACCCTGACTCAGGTTTTCTGACACAGGTTGCCGAGCCAAAGCCTATACGAACCTCCTGAAAAGGCTTCAGCGAATCTCTATCCTGACTCAGGTTTTTGACACAGGTTGCTGTGAGCTCCGAAAATTAACAATTTACAGTTTTTAGTAAAAATGATTTATCGAGGTCTAAAGCCTTAAGTTTTTTTCTATTCATTTTTTGGAATGATAAAAAATTACCTAAGCGCTCTTGTAAAGAGTTCAAATTAGCCTGTCAGAAACGAAGACGTGAAAAGAGGCGTCTTTTTCCTTATTTTTGAAAGACGGTTTAAAAAGGCAGGAAATCTCTAGCCAGGCTCCAATTAACCTCTCGAGCGGTTGCGATAGACCATCTCACAGTTTTCTAAAATTTTCAAAATGACGCCAGCGCGATAAGAAAACGAGCAACTCAAAAGAGAAGAATCTTCCCTTTTCAGTTCGTTTATTGATGCGAGACCCTTATTCGGAGATTCCGAAGACGAGGAGAACACGTAAACAGGAAACGTAAAATGCTGTTTATGTATCATCTTCTCGGGACATCACGAATTTATAGCCCCGTTACTATGTCCCTTTCAAGACACCCCGCTCTAAAATGATCGCAAAGGGCAAGCTCAAATTAGAATTACCTCTATGTACTTTTACTATATGTACTTTTCTCGTTCTATTCTTTTATTATCGAAAAAATGGCAAAAAATTTGAAAAAAAAAAGCAAAATTTTGATTGGATATTTAAAATTCTAGCGAAGCTAGAATATTCAATATGGGGCAAAATCTAAAGCTGATTCAGGACCTGAGTAGAAAACCTGAGTCAGGCTTCGCCATAAGTTTAAAGAAATTTTATATGGTTTATTTGCGAAGCCGCTTCGCGGCTTCGTTTTTAAAAAAGCCGCTACGCGGCTTTTCATTTTAGCTCTTCCAGAGCCTGACTCAGGTGTTCTACTCAGGTTACTGAGCCCAGTTAAAGACCCTGACTCAGGTTTTTAACGCAATTAGGACAAGACATTACTATCTCGTTTTTTTTCTGAGAAAAAAAACAAGGTCCAAGATTTTTAATATCAGAACGTGTCGAGGATATCGTCTAAAACAAACACAAAAGTTGCACTACATCGACTCGTTAACACGTGGTTAAGAGTTCTTCTGGTCTAAACTCGGCTCAGTTAGTTTCTTTGATTTCGGCGATTGAGCGGCTAAGGCGGCTTAGATCGGTTTCATTCTCAGAGAAGCCTCTCGCTCCTTCTCAATCCTTTTATTTCGCTGCACTTTTTTGCGAAATCGGGAATAATTGCCTCCAAATCAACGCGTCTTTCTCAAAGCTGCTTCACATTTGCTGGCAGCTAATTTTGTTGACCGAAGATCGTGTCCAACCTTCTTTACTCAAAACAGGCGAAACATTTGTTTTACCGAAGGAGTTCTTTGTACCAATTAAGAGTTATTAATAGAACCATAATTTTTAATCGCCAACAATCATAATTGTCCAATATTTTCCCTTATCTATTATTTTAAGGGAACACCAAGCGAAAAATAGATAGAGGTGTGGAAGTTTAAAAATAGGGGGCCCCCATTTTAACGGGTGAAGGAACCGATAAAAAATTTCGACCAATTTTGCGTGGGCGGCTACTCGACTTCTCATTGGCCACTGAGCCGAGTTCAGGCTTTTGATTGATTGAAAATTTTCGCGCAAAATTTGTCGGAATTTTTTCCGGTTTCTGACCCATTTTAACGGATAAGGGTCCGGACCCTCCAACCTGTGTAGGAAACCTGAGTCAGGGTTTGCCACAGATCGGCTTCGCCTAGATCCAAAAACAACTCGAAAATCCGGGTTGGTGTCAGGAACCGACAAAAAAAATTTCGATAAATTTTGCGTGGAAATTTTCAACCAATCAGAAGCCTGGATTTAGCTGACCGGCCGAGTAGCCGCCCACGCAAAATTTGTCGAAATTTTTTGTCGGTTTCAGACGCCAATCCGAAAATCCCGAGGGACACTCAGATGATTAACCAATTTTTAAATAGCGAAATAAATTTTTCATTCAAACTTACAATATCTGGCGCAGTTGTGGGCTCTCCAAATGCAAAGTCAAAACTCGTCACTTTCTGTGCAGGATTTCGCTGAATTTCTTCCTGAAAAGATGGAACCGTCGGATTCGCCCAAGCATCGAATTCGAAAAACATCGTCGTTGCCTGCTGCTGCTGCTCGATTTTGCTCGGCAAATTCAAGCTCCCGAAAGGCTGAATCGGCTGCTTCAAGTTAAACGCATCGTTCTGAAAAATCAGCTTTTAATTTTACTTTTGATCGACAGGAACCACTTGCTTCAAATGTCAAAAAATCGTCGTGGAAGCAATTTTCTTGCAAAGCTTTTTCATTTAATGAAAGCTATTTTTTTGAGAACTCATAAATATTGAAAAAAATGGACTAAACCAATTTATGGAAGTGCATTTTCGGATTACCAATAAGATTGCTGTATTTAGCCCACCGGCCAATCAAAAGCCTGATCCGTAAAATCACTTTAATAAATTGGTTTAACCACACATCTTTGAATAAAAATCTTAGTTATTTTCATTTTTTTTATTTTTTTTTTTGTAAAATAAAAGTTTTGTGTTAAAATTATTGATTTAAGATTTTAGCAGAATTTTTTATTGGAAATTTTCTCGACAAAGAAGCGTCTAATTTCGACATTTCCTGATAAATTGAAGGGCAGTTAGATTTTGAGCTCGGAAACCTGTGTAGAAAACCTGAGTCAGGGTTTGAAAACGGCTTCTTTTATAGTAAGACCTTTCAGATCCTGACTCAGGTTTTTTACACAGGTTTCCTGAGTCAGGGTCTGAAAATATCTTTCTATAAAAGAAGCCTCTTTCAGACCCTGACTCAGGTATTCAACACAAGCCCGAGCCCAGTTTAGATTTTCAGACTTACTGAAGATTTGAGATTGGCAACACTGGGCTGATCAGTGCCCCAGAGAATCGAGAGGTCCATCTGCGTTGTTCCAAAAAAGGGAAAAGCCGTGGTCGCTTCTTGCGCAAAAGCTCCGGTCGAGGAGAGAAAGCTGCTAATCTTCATTTTCTCTCTCTCTTTCGCACTTTTTCAAAAACTCTTTTTCAAAATTATAAAAATCGAGGATCAAGCTCCTATTTTTTATATCTCTTGTAAGAACTCCGCAGTTTGCAAAGTAATGATGCAAGAAAAACGCTTACCGGAAGGGTCGTCTGAGAGGTGGGGTCAGAGAGCGCGGCGCGCGTATCGAACCCCGCGAGAAATCGCGAAAACAGCTCGCGAGCGCCACCTACTACGCCAAAACGCGCCAAACAGTATTACGACAAACACTTGATTCGATTTATTGTGCCCGAGTTGTGATCTAATTAGTGATTGGGCAAGAATTGAAATTCTTATTCCGAAAAATCGCTTTGATTTTTATAACTCGCGATTTATTTTGAAACTCTTCTCAATTCTGGAGACAGTTATTCTTTGCGCGAGCTCTAAAATTGAGTACTAACAGTAATTGAGTTCAAATGATGGATAAGAGTTCGATCAAATGTCATTTTTATGCTCTAAAAAATTATTTCAAACCCTAACCCTAACCAAGGTCATGATTCCAGACCTTTTTCTAGGTCAGGGGCTATCTACTGGGGGGTAAGGGGTTAGGGTTAGGCTTAAGGGGGTTTCAGTGAAGGAAAATGAGGGTGTCACAATCTTAAACTTTCGAGGTGTCAGAACCGACAAGAAATTTCGAAAAATTTTCGGTGGCAATTTTCAACCAATCAGAAGCCTGGATTCGGCAAACCGGCCAATCAGCAGCCATGAAGCCGCCCACGCAAAATTTGTCGAAATATTTTTTGCCTGTTCTTGACGCAACCCCCTCAAGAAGCCTCCGAAGAGCCTATTGTTAGTTACAGGTAGCCATAGTCTATGAGTCAAAGAGGACAAAATCTTATTTGTTCTAAGTATAATTTTATAATGTCAACAATTGTAGTTATGAAAAGATTAGGACATTTTTACCGATTCATTGGCGCTAAATTTTTATTCCTTGTGCATCAACTCATCTTGATTTTATGGTTTTTCGATTTCACACACCCCCTTAAATTTTGGAGAGAAATCCCGAATCTTCATGTCTTTCTTCTTTCAATGATAAACGCCTTATCAAAAACCAGTTCTGGTAATCTGATAAAAAGCAAATTCTTTCGGCACAAGAATTCGAATCCAAGAAAGAATGAGAACTTTCTTTCACTTGGCTAAATTATCTAAATCCAAAAAACGTGTGTCAAATCAAACTAACATCAAACAGAGAAGTGTTACAAAACCATATAATGGCACGCTGTTTAAGATAAATAAAAAGCTGTTTTAGCGATTCTAAAAGTGTTTCTTTTTTCAAACGCGAAAATGGACAGACTGGCGACAAGAAAATTGTATTTTTGGTTGAAACTAAAAATTGAAAGAGAAAAAAGTTATGCTAGAAAAACACGTCTTGTTTCCGCCTCTTCTGATCAAACTACATTTTGAAGTTAACAATTTAATTTCGATTTGAAACACGAATCATGCTCATCTTGACAAGCTCAACCAAAAATTTAGAGAGTCAAGCGTTTACAAAATCGTTGTTGTGAAAACCTACAGCTTGGTTTTCAATTAAATTAAGGGTGGAACCACCCATTATCTGTTCTTTTTAGGGAAAGATGTAATTACTCTTTTCTTTACTTCTGACGCAGGCCTAAGATTAAGGGTGTAGCCAAGGATTATTTTTCTCTTTTTCCTGCTGGGAAATACTCGAAAACCTGTGTAAAAACCTGAGTCAGGGTCAAAAAGTGCCTGAAAGAAAAGCCGCGTATTTCATTAAGGATCCCTCCGTCGACTTTAGCGATTTTTCCGAAAGAAATTCTGAAAAAAATTGATAGTGATAACTTAAGGGTATCCACTTGTTAACTCATTTTTGCTCTAGAAATCTTCATAAGCTACATAAAAATAATAAAATTTTTGAAAATCCTAAGGGTATACGGGGATAAAACGCTGTTTGAAAATTGAGATAAAGTCGATGGGGGATCCTTAAATCAGCTTTTTTATACAGGTTGTCAAGACCAGCTGCTGGGTTAGTATCTACAACGCTTGCTTCTAAAATCATTTTAGTAATTTAGTTTTGGGCTTCTTAAAAGTCTCGTTAAAATTTCCGAAAGAAAGTTAAACCCGATTAATTAATGCTTTGCGGAGAAAAACGATATCCAGGCAGCTTTGATGTAAGCACTTTCGGGCGAAAAATCAGTTAGGGAAGAAATGGAATTAAGCCGGGCGAGGATTAGGACGCAGGGAGTTACATTAAACGGGCGAATATTTATCACAATCCTAAATAAATTTCAAAGCTTTCTAGCGCGATGACAGTGGATTATGGCGCCCGAATTTTAGAGCCGCTTCTAGAGACCTGCCTGTTTTCATTTCAAACCTTTCCGAAACTTGGATAAATATAAAATAACAAGCTAAAAAAGGAAGAATCCTAAGGCGAAGATTTCTTAGCGACGAAATTTCGCGGCTGACCTCCGATAAGGTGTGTGTCGATTTTTATTGCGGTTTCAATTATGCTCGCCTGCAATTCGATGGTCATATAATATGACTCATATTGTCGATTGGAAGTGGTGATCTTTAGGGCGAAAGATTGTCGATTTTCCGTAATGACCATTTTTGGCCTGTGTAGAAACCTGAGTCAGGCTTTGAAAGACCCTAAGCGGCATTTCATTTAGGGTCTCTCGAAGCCTGACTCAGGTTTCTACACAGGCCAAAAATGGTCATTACGGAAAATCGACAATCTTTCGCCCTAAAGATCACCACTTCCAATCGACAATATGCGAATTGCAGGCGAGCATAATTGAAACCGCAAAATAAGCGCGTTTCGTATAAAAAAGAATGTAGCTGCTGATGAGCGTCAAATTCGATTCCAAATTTTGCCCGGAAAATATATATTCATCTAATGTTGCCCAGCTGGCGATTCGTTTTTGTTATTGAATATTCATTTCCGATCTTGTTTTTCGGGACCGCAGCAATTCAGAATTCTATCAAAAAGGGGGCTTTGTTTACGTGTCGCAGCAGACGTGCTAAGCTGGGGCTTTTTATTCTTGAGGTTTGGAACTGGGAATTAGGAATTTATTGTTTTGGTGTTTTTGGGAATTCGGGATACAGAGTCTAGCCCTCGCTCTTTCAAAGGAGTTCGAACATCGTCGGCAGAATCGCAAAGTTTAAGAGCTAAGCTCGGCAACCTGTGTAGAATACCTGAGTCAGGGTTCGATAGATCTTTTATGGATCTATTCAGGCCCTGACTCAGGTTTTACACAGGTTGCCGAGCCCTAAAAGTCCCCTCTTTTCACCCCGTTGTTTAATTGACGTTTATTGTCTCGTCGTCAAACTTGAGGAAGGTCTCTGGAGTTTTATCAAACTTCCTGTAATTGAGGATGTTGCATAAAACTAATTTTGTGGTTTTGGGATCAAAAAAGAGCGATTTCTAAAGCGTCAAATTTCAGGACTCTGCTCTAATTTATTTTCCTCTAGGAACAACTTTCCAACCTTGCTTTGGCCATTGTTTTCATTCTTATATCATTCTTATCCCTGCTCGCTGAGATAACATTTGATCCTACCGGTCAAAATGCAAAACAAGGATGCAAATACGTTTTCAGCAAACAATTCTCGCCCTCAGAGTTTGGCTCAAACCCCGAGACTCGGAGGTGTCTTAAGTACTGTATTTTAAAATCGCCATTTTAGAAGAAAAACCTGCGTAGCAAGCCTGAGTCAGGGTTTTGAAGTTTTGAAGAACCCTTACCTGGGCTCGGCAACCTGAGTAGAAAACCTGAGTCAGGCTCTGGAAGAGCTAAAATGAAAAGCCGCGTAGCGGCTTTTTAAAACAAAGCCGCAAAGCGGCTTTGCAAATAATCCATATAAAATTTCTTTAAACTCCTGGCGAAGCCGCTTCGCGGCTTCGTTTTAAAAAGCCGCTACGCGGCTTTTCATTTTAGCTCTTCCAGAGCCTGACTCAGGTTTTCTACTCAGGTTGCCGAGCCCAGACCCTTACCATAACCCTGACTCAGGTTTTATACACATCTTGACAAGCCATCCAGATCTGCCTTGTTGGAGACTTCCGGTAATTGACGATTTGGGCAAAATGAATTGTGGTTTTTGGGGAGTAGCAAAAGTAACAAACGAGCTGTCCAAAGCGTAAAACTGCGGCCGGAGCAAAACAGATGACGGTTTTACGTTTTCGCGATTTTCGCGGCGAGCAGCGATAATTACAAATATTATGAATGATAGACTCACTTGTTCGGAAACGCCAAAACTGTTTCCGAAGCATAACTAGGAAACTCGATGAAAAATGAGCTTTTTAGGGCTTAGTAGGGAGGAAGTATAATACAGTTTTAGAAAGCCCAGGAGCTGTAGATCATTTTGACTATTGATAGTAAGGGTTTGACTCATGCCCTGGGGCACTTTTGGCCTTCCAAAGGGCCAAATTTCTGGTACTCTTCGGATAAGGGACCGTAACTTCTAGTATCCCGGGTCTTTGGAAATAAAACTTATACTCGGTTGTAGAGGAGGCTCTGACGGTTCCGAATATGTATAGAAAACCACCGGGACCCCCACCTCTAGAAGGCGCTAGAGGCTCTAGAAGTTGAGGAAGTCAACCAAAAATCGGTACTTTTTGCCTAAAAAAGGCTGGAATTGTTGTATTTTCATTCGAAATCGATTATTAATAATTTCTAGCGATTTTGTGATATTCAAAAATGTCAGTTGAGGTCATTTGAGGTGAATTTTCAGCAAATTCTAGTTTTCGCTTTTGATGACCTAAAAGTGCCCAAAATTACCCCAAAACTTATTTTTAATCTAACAGAATCATCAAAAATGTTATTTAAATCGATTTCGAATGAAAATACAGCATTTCCAGCACTTTTTTGACAAAAAGTACCGATTTTTGGTTGACTTCCTCAACTTCTAGAGCCTCTAGCGCCTTCTAGAGGTGGGGGTCCCGGTGGTTTTCTATACATATTCGGAACCGTCAGAGCCTCCTCTACAACCGAGTATAAGTTTTATTTCCATAGACC